CATGTTCTGGTTCAATGATGTCTTGGTGTTTTGATAGATGTGGGCCAAGATGGTCGAATGTGGACAATCTTGTGCGATTATGGTAATTCTCGAGAGGATTACGGTGAGCGGATGGCTCGTGTGGATCAAGATTGATCGTGAATTATGCATGATGTATTACATTGCATAATTGTGTTGACATGCATTTCATATCATGTGTCTTGTGGAGATGGTTAGGTGGGAATCCATGATGAGTGCCATATTTATCCGGACTTCATTGTGGAAGTTGTTGTGGAGATAAGTTGTAGTTCAGAGGAACGTATATACGACTTATCTGGATTCCGACGGGAATTGGGTTCTAGTGTGAACCGTATGAGATTGTGTTGGTACCACATGCATTGTGTCGAGTCAGTGAGCCGCATTGCATTATTGTAATTGAATGTGGGCTATTAGTGCCGAATGAATAAGGTGGCACGTGTATGTGCGTTAATTATGCTTATTTTATGTGTGGTGTGTAACTACTCCTTAGCATGTGTATTTCACCGTTTATTTATTGAATGTAGTTCTCACCCCTTTTTGTTGTTGTGTCTGTGCTCTCTTGGGAGTATAGGTGACCAAGTACCTGAGTAGTGCTTGGAGTGTGTTGCTATTTGATCGAGTCTTAGGAGTCGCTCTGATACGTAACATGGGATGACGGGGTTACGTTGTTATTTGACTACTTTATTTGTTTATTGTTACGTATCTTTATTTGTTGGACTTATGTTGTATGACCTCATGTTGAGGAGAATTATATTGCAGAATTGATTTGTATTTCGCTGCTTAATTGAAAACTAAATAATATTGATTATCTTAATGAAATGAAGTGACTTAGTGTGATATCCCACTGTGTTGGAGAACTCTGATGAATTTTATGAATTATTTTTTTATATTTATTATATTACGCGTACGGGGTAAAGTGGGGTGTTACAGTCCACATTGTTAACCAGACTGTCCAAGCTCCCTTTGAGAATCCTCTCTATGAATACAATGCTGTCAGCGCATCAAAAGTGAGGTTTCGGTCTTGACTCCAGCGGATTATTTTCCCCAAACGCTAGTGTTTCAGACAAGATGGCTCAGCTTTATACAGATTTAGTCATTAGGCCTTTTGTTTCTCGTTGTTTGTACTTTCCTTTTATTAGCTGTTTGCTTTCAAATTATGTTTGTACTTTCATACTAATGAAATGAGCATTGCGACTTTCGATTTCAATTCATCTTGTCTATTATTTGCACTTCTACGCTTTATCTTTCAAATATTTACTTCTTGTCCAAATTTTTGATATGCAAAGATTGGAAGGAGGATGACGAAAACATTATACCCACAATTACTGTCAGTATGTTTTTAATCAAACTTTGTTGACGTTGTAAGGCATTGTTTCAACTCCCAAACACTGGAGAAATAAGGAAGTTATTCATTGTCACCCCTTTCGAGCCTAGAAGTTGGAGTTTCTTTCTTTACAAAAATCCGCAATCTTAACCTTGGGGCAGGGGTAGTTCTCAGTTAACTTGGTTGTGTGTACCTGCAATACGCCTTTCATATAAAGGTGGCACTCATAATTTTCCTTCGTACACAGCAAGTAAGTGTCGAAGATGTTTTAAGCCAAAACGTCGAGGATGGTTCACCGTGAGCATTGAGTTAGGCAATCACTTTCTTCCAAAACAAAAAAAAAATCAAAAGAAAAAGCCCGCTATGTCAAAACCTACGAAGGAGACTTAGGCAAAACTGGGGCATCCCGCTGACTGTAATCTTCACAAGAAACAGTTAAGGCAAAAGTTAGGGATAATAAAAAGAGGAGATCTTTAAATCCCTACCTTGAAAATCCTCAATGTCAAAACAACCAAATGCTATAGGGAAGTAGTGGCTGCCTTTCCAAAAAAGGTCTGTGGACTTCTGAACCATCGTCATTATTATCACTGCAATTCCTAACCTATGGGAACCTAGATGCATAATATAAGTTAGTTGAGTGTAAGACTGAAGATTATCACGTAGATGGGGTGGGTACAAATAAATTTTGAGCCTTTACCTTTTGTTTCTTAAACCGTGAACCAGGCCACGTTACAATCCTCAAAAGACCTAATTGAAGCAAGGTTATTTTGAAAGCATCCTACAGTAAGGTTGCGTAAGCTGACTCCAAAAGATCTTTGCGAATCATTCATTTTGGAAGTACACTTTTCTTTTAAACCTTGAGTATTTTGAACCGCCGCGTTCTGATATGAAACTTTTATACTTTTCATCTTTCAAAAATGATTTTGATTTCAAAAGTGGCATGAACTTTGCATTACCATGTTTGTACGAATATTTTTGTTTGCAAACCAGCTTTCCTCTAAGGAATTTGCAAACAATCGAGAAGCTTGGTCAGGTGATCCTATCAGGGGCAAATTCCTTTTACATCCTGTCTAAGAGTCAGTTCAAGATTTGTTCAAGACAAGGTCTTCTCAGATTTGGTTTATCCATAATTTTTTTTAAGACTCAGACTAGGGCAGTTAAGCAGTCATTTTTAGAATCAGACAAGCTGAAGCAATTATCAGTTCATCTATAACAGACGGCTTAATCTGGGGCAATTTACTTGAGGGATCCCCAGGCAGCTATGCATCCTTCCTACAAGGACCATCAGCTTGATACTGTTTACTAGTATGGTAGAGATGTGCTCAGCGGTAACATCTTTGGTCCCCAAGCAAGTGGTAGTGATCTCCGTGTTGAGGAATCAGTTTTCTAGTCTTGTCATCTCACCTCAAGAATCGAGCCTTGTCGTCGGCATCTGCATTTGCATTTGATCATATATCATAGCATTATTCATATACATATGCATAACATGAGTGTTTCATCCTCATTTGCATTTCTCCTGAGGTCGTGTTTTATCCATGTCTTACCTTGTGGTCAAAGTCCAACTTACTTGGCACCTACCAAAGAGAGTTTTCGTGTCTATCTGATGTTCTTCCAAATATGACATTTTTCTTATCCGATGGTTTTCCGGATATGTCTGTTTCTCCTACGTCCAATACACTTCTCATATATTGTGTTTATACCTTTCATTCAAAGCCATTATTGGATGTCTGGTACCCTTATTTTTATTTCTCTTTCTGATGGTTTTCCAGATTGAGTTTTTTTCAGAACTTCTTTGTTACTTATCTGACGGTTTTCCAGATATTTTCCTTTGATTATGATGATTTTCCAGAATCTTATCCGATGGTTTTCCGGATACGTCTCTTTCTGATGGTTTCCTAGATATTTTCTTTCGATTCTGATGGTTTTCCAGAATCTATCCGATGGTTTTCCGGATTTATCCCTCTTTCTGATGGTTTTCCAGATCGAGTCTTTGTTCTGATGTTCTTCCAGAACTTATCTGACGGTTTCCAGATATTACCTTTGATTCTGATGGTTTTCCAGAATCTATTCGATGGTTTTCTGGATATATTTCTCTTTCTGATGTTTTTCCAGTTTGAGTTTTTATTCTGATGTTCTTCCAGAACTCCTTTGTTTCTTATCTGATGTTCTTCCAGATATGTCTTCAACTTGTCCTGTACATTTATTGCTGTCCTAAATGTTTCGGATTTACCTTCAGAGACTTGTCTTCATCTCATGCTCCTATAGATGTTGTCCTTTTGTTTCTGGATGCAGCCTAGAGTTTATTCGATGGTTTTCCGAGTATCTCTGGTATGTTTCAGAGTTCATTCGATGTTCTTCCGGATGTCCCTGAAATTTGTTTCTTTGTTCCAGAGTTTATTCAATGTGTTTCCGAGTATCTCTGGTGTGTTTCAGAATTCATTCGATGTTCTTCCAGATGTTTCTGATGTTTGCTTCTTCTTGTATATTTTCCGACAATTCCTGAAGATCCCGCTCGATCTCTTCGTTTAAAGGAATGTTTCGAAGATTCTAGCACTTGCCGTTTACCTGATCCTACCGCCGTGTGGATCACGTGTTACCGTTTCATCCTAAAGTAACAGATGGTCGCGCTGACACCGGTTGATCCGTCACTCTAGAATTCTCCAGTTGTCGTGCTGTTCCACCAGTGCGTCGTATTCCCCAGTGAAGTCGCCATTTTCTGTTGCGGTTAGAATAGGATAACAAATTAATTAATTTGAATCACAATCTTTGATTCACAACCGATCTTTGACCTTTTCCTTCGGATAAATCAAAGATCGGTTGTGAATCAAAAATTGTGATTCAAATTAATTAATAATTTGTTATCCTATTCTAACCACAACACGTACCCTTGCATTTGATGTTCCAATACATCTATCAACTAAACTGTCTTATCATGATCAACTCTTTTGATATTTATAACCATTTTAAGTTACTTTGAGATTTTTCCTAAATAATAGTTTATTTTGACCATTATAGGGGTTATGCTGATATAAAGTCTCATTTAAAATCAATACAGTATTCCTTTTCTTAGTATATACTTTTGTTATTTTTTCTTCTATATGATGCATTTAATAATACGAATTGCCATATGTCAACTAAATAAAAATTTTTAACTTTTTTACATTGCAACACAAATAATTAATTTCAAGAAGCAAATAATTTCATTCCTTTTCTGTACGTTTGTAATATGATAAAAACCTTCATTAGTAAAGATTTCTGAAGAGTTTTATTGATCCAATAATGAAAACAAATTTGCGTATAATACAACACTACCTCATTTGTGCATTATGAAACAGTCTAAATCATAACTAAGAACATTAAGTTAAGGACAACTCAAAAACCAACCAGAACAGTCATTTAATTTGCTATGAACTCACAATAACATCTATATATACAAGTAAATGTATAAGAAAATTATTCAAATATCACGGCAAAGAAAGTAATCAAATAAATAACTAAACTCTTGAACTAATAGAGCTCCTGTTTTAGACTATGAATCACGGACACACGACACTGAACGTAATTATAAGTAATTATAAATGTCGGAATCGGTGTCTGAGAGACATTGACACAAACATGTCTTTTTTCAAAGATATTGGTGCTACGAATAACCTTTATCTCAAGGAGCATTTCCAGCCACCTTCTTATACTTGTACCTCTTTGCAATCCATAGATAAACAAGGAAGTTGAGAAAGCTAAGAACAGACAAAAGCCAGTAAAAATAATCAAGATGACCTCTATTCAGATTATCCGGTATCCAACCAATCTTACCATGTCTTGTGGTAACTTTTGTTACTATAGTAACAAGCAAAGTACTAATGTAATTTCCCAATGCATTGGTTGTGAGTGAAAGAGCAACACCTAAGCTTCTCATAGCATCAGGTGCTTGACCATAAAAGAACTCTAACTGACCAATGTTGGTAAAAACTTCTGCACATCCGACTAGAAAATATTGCGGTACTTGCCAGAAAATCGACATGGGGATAGTCTTGAGATCGTAGTAGTTGTTCTTCCTGATCGTGTTGAGGCGAGCGACCTCTAGAATACCGGCAATGATCATTGAAAAAATTGAAATGACGAGACCGATTCCCATTCTTTGGAGTTGTGTGAAGCCTTGTTCGTGGCCGGTGAACTTTCTTGCAAACGGGACGATGACGCGGTCGTAAACCGGAGCCCAGAAGATGACACTTAGAGTGTCGAAAAGGGAGAGGGAAGCTGATGGGATTTTGAAGTGAGGGCCGATGCGCTGGTCCATTGTGTTTCCTTGTAAAACAAACATGGTGTTCATTTGACTGTATACGGTTGCAAAGGCGATTAGAGTTGCCCAAACTGGGAGTAAACAAATTATGGATTTGAGTTCCTCAACTTGTGTTACGGTACAAAGCCTCCAAGGATTTGTCAAACGTTTTGTGCGGTCTGATTGCGTCTCTATTGCTGCCTTATCCAAACACCTGCATGGATTTAACACTTTTCTAAACTAGAGAACTATAATTTGTTAAGATATTTACATCGGACAACATATGAAATGAGTATTTATAAATGGGGACAAAGTCCACCTTCTATGCTGGTTTTTTACCGGTGAGTTAAAATTAACCATAATTCTCAAAATGGTATCAAAATTTGGTTTAAAATCTGTTGGATCACCTGCTATCAGGCTTTTGTTATCGGGCCATCCACCAGCATTTATATTTGCCTAATGTGCATTTCATTATTTGTATCCAATATAAGTTGTCAGTTTGTTATCATAATCAATAACATAATCATTAGAAGTAGGATATCAATTGAAAAGTTCATTTTCATTGTGGATGTTAATTGTAGAAGTGCATGTTGATGTGCCTAAAATAGCTCACCTTAAGTTGTCTGTATGATCAAGTTTGCGGCTTCCTTTGATGACAGATTCGACATCTATAGTCTCATGAAGAAGAGACTTATCATCTGGAACTTGAAGCCTAAGTTTCCGAGAAGCTGCAACTAAGACTTGGCAAATCCGCGTAAGAGGACTTCCTCCGGGTATTTGAAGTCTATAGAGATAGCTACCAGCAAAGAAAAATATAAGTGCAAGGACCATTGCAACCGCAGGAACTCCGAAACCCCATCCCCAACCCACATTCATCTGTATCCAAACTAATACCGATGAAGCTATGAGTGCGCCGATGTTAATTGAGAAGTAAAACCAGTTGAAGAAAGAGCTCTTCCTTTTTCTCTCTTTCTCGTCTGTTTCATCAAATTGGTCTGCGCCAAACGACGAAACACATGGTTTGATACCGCCAGTTCCAAGAGCTATCAAGTAGAGTCCTATGTACATTGCCACAGTTTGTGCTGATGTTGGATGGCAACCGTTAGAATCACACGATGGCTTAAGTCCAGGGGCAGATGCAGATAATGTTAAAAGTATCATTCCCTGCAGATAAAAGGCTCGGAAACACAGTTCAAGTACAACAAAAAGTTGAAATTAAAATTACATTGAATTGAAAACAGCACGATTTTCAATAAAACAATGTTTTGGTTTGTTCTTGACTTACAGTGACATAGATAACAGAAAAACTAGCAATAGTCCAATATCTTCCCAAGTACGAATCAGCTAAAAAGGCTCCGAGCAATGGCGTGACGTAGCATGTGCCTGACCAAGTTGTGACACTTTTAGCAGCGGCTGCATTTCCCTGATTGAAACGCTCTCCAAGATAGTTCACCAAGTTCGTACTCATTCCATAGTACGCCAATCTTTCACAACATTCATTTCCTGTTACAAGTTTTTTCAACAATATCAAATAGCGGCTATAGAATAGCGGTATTTGAACCAACCACTATTTTCTTTGATCTGCGATATTGACCACTGATATACAAACATTCAGATACATTATTGCAAATTCACAAAACCAACATTTCTATTTCCACGAAACAAAAAGAAAGTAAATTAATAATCACGTACCAAGAATGAACCAGCAAGCTTTCCAATTTCCAGTCTTTTTTTTGTTGGCAGGCTTTTTTCTGATATTAATGGTTCCATCTTGTGTATAAATGTCATCATCTTCTGCCATACTATCAACGCAGATCGCTTATTCGCTGGTTTCTGTTTCTCTTTGTTATCTTCAAAGACTCAGTTACCTATAAATATCACTATGGCAATGGAATATCAGAAAACAAATTATATAATTAAATATATCAAACATAATTCATAGCACACATAATTCAATCAAAGCAAAACACATCTCAGCATAACGTTAAGGTCATTAAATATGTGTAACAAGCTTACCAAGGATGCTTCAAATTGCAACTGCCGTCACTTTGTGTCACAATTCTTGATATTACGAAAAATCAGAGTTAAATATTGGTGATGGTGATGGAGTCTAAGTTGCTGTCATAGACACGTAAGAAACTGGACGTCACCTTCAAATTATACTTGGGAACTTTTATTAAACCCTAATAAAGATTTTTTTTTACGTACAAGAGAAAAAAAATCGAATGTTCATAACAAATTAACAAATTAAGGTTTACCTTTTTCTTTTTTTTTTTACCAATAAGGATTTATCTTTAGTTTTAGGATATTTTTTATTTCAATATCCATATATCTTTTGGGTTGGCCAAAATAGTGTCAGAGTTATCTGATATTCGAGATCAATTTATATATAACATCCAAACATCTCAATTAAAAAAAGACATTCTTTTTAAAGAAAAAAAACCGTGTGAATTCTCAGATCCAAAATTTGTAATTGGTCGTAGCTTTAGTGGCATAAACTTAAGTTTACTTACAATAATATCTATTTTTGTGAACAAATATATTTGAATTTATCTTAATTGATAGTGAATGTTCGCGGAGGGTGAACTCGTGAAGTATGGAAAAAGGAAAAAAAATAAAATTTGTTAGCCAGTAAAAGAGTGATAATTTCAACAAGAAACTCCACTAAATTTTTGTGTCCCATTATTCTTCTTTTTAAAAATATAAATATTTTAACGCGTTATTCTTTAAAGAAAATCTCTTTAATGTTGTAAAAAATTGCGACATAATGATATAACTCTGCGATAAATTTGATAGAAGAGTTCAACTCAATTATGTGAATAAACATCATGTTTTCTGAATATTGTTTTGGTAAAAGGATTTTGAAACTTGCACTACCAATTGAGTTTTTTTTAAACAGTATTAATGACGACACATACTATTCTATTTGTGTTACATCATCTGTAGTTTTATGTGGCACATCTAAAATTTTATTTTTATTTTACAAATAGATAAATACAATATTTATTTTTTATTAAAGGTTACGAGTTCGAACTTTGGCAAAAACGAAAAAAATAAAATTTTTAATAAAATTAATCTAACAAAACAACTACGGTTCCAACTATTTATATTCCCCTAAACATTAAAATTAAAATTATGTCTTATTTGAAATCATAAAAAATATGAACACTTGAAATGCTTAAAATAATTGTTTTTAATCTCAAAGTAATTATAGTAAAAAATATAATAACCTATTAACCTAACAATTAATTACTAACTTAGATAAATATATATTACCAAAGTGGATTATGCTTTATCTTTTTATTTTTTATTTTTATTTTTATAATAGTGAATATGATAAAAATATTGAAAATAATATTTAAGAAAAGAACAATCATGTTTTAAAACTTATATAACATTATTTATTTTTCAAGAAACAATTTTTGAATTATAAGATAAGTAAAAGTTGAAAAAAATTTCTTTAGTATCAAATTAGTTATTACACAAATTTTAAAAACTTATCACTATTTGTTGACATTGAAATTTGATCGAGTATGCAAAATTTTATAATCATATTTATATATTTTATTATTATATTTTTCATATTATGACATACCAAAAAATTAAAGACAAACAATAATGTTATTGATTTTTCACATATAATGAGGGTCAAAGAGGATAAGAATAAAAATATAAAAAATAACTACAAATAATATCTTTTAGAATTTTATTAAAATCTGTAAAAATTAAATTCATAATATCACTCTCAACTTACAAATATATACTTTTTCTTTTAAGTAAAATGTTTCTTTTTCTATTATATTTTTGTCTATATTATAATTCATAATAAATTATTATAATATATTTTTTTAATCATATATTTAAAAAAATATATATATAACTAAAATTCAATATAAATCAAATAAAAATTAATTTATAACCACGCATCGCGCGGATCTTAATCAAATTTATATTTATATTTAAAGATGACTATTGTCATTCTAAATTTTATTAATTCATGTCAGTAGTAGTTGTTGAGACATGTAATTTAAAATTTGTGATATATTAGAACTATTAAATTACTTTAAAAAAATGGACTACTTTTTATTTAACATTAAAACCTAAATGTATTTATATTCATGCTATTTTATGTGAAATAAATAAATAAATATATATATATATATATATATATATATATATATATATATATATATATATATATATATATATATATATATATATATATATATATATATATATATATATATATATATATATATATATATATATATATATATATATATATATATATTTAAATACAGTTTTAGTCATTCAATTTTAATATTTTAATCCTTTTTTAAATAAACTCAACCTTTTGATTCCTTAATTAAATATTTTCTGATTTTTTTTAGTCTCCCTCCGTGGCTCAGAGTGTAATGCCACGTCATTAAAAAGTTATTCCTTAATTTTATATAGATTTAATTAAAGTTTTAGTCTCTTAATTTTAATATTTTAAACATTTTAATCCTCTTTTAAATAAACTCAACCTTTTAATCCCTTAATTAAATATTTTCTGTTTTTTTTAAGTCTTCCTCCACTCAGTGTAGCGTCACATCATTAAAAATATATAAAAATTTAAAAAATAAAAAATTTAGGCCCAAGCATATGTTGTGTACATCAATAGCCCCATACTCAAGATTATAGGATATAGAACGTGAGAGTGATTTATAAACACTAATCATTGTTGCAAATTCGATGTGGGACTTTATATGCCAAGAGAAATGCATCAGCCGAAGAACACCATTGGTTATGGCATAAAGTAGTTGGTGTTAAATTCTGGAACCAGTAAACTATTTAGAACACATCACACACTGCATTAGAAATTCTGGAACAATAATAAAGGATTAAATTTATAGAACAATAACAAAGGATTTAACTCGTGAAAAGGCCTCAAGACTATAGATAACACTGCATTAGAAATTCTTCCAAATTTAACTCCATGATAGTCCCTCTTTGTGAAGCTAGAAAACTAGCAATGGCAAGAATAATGTTGAACACAATGGTAGAGGAGAATATTAGTCCAACTGTTGAGACCTACCATGCATATTTTGAAGTAACAGATTAGCATGGAACTTTAGAATTTCCGAGTAAGATGAAAGGTTCTAGCTTGAGTCCAAATAATGATTCCTTTCTTATAATTCTGGTAAAACTGTTTAAGTTGAAGCAGCCAATAAATGCATTGGAAATTTGGGCCGAAACGAAGAAATATGAAGTGGTACCCACTTGTGTTTATTATAGAAAAATGGTTGAGGGGCTTATAACATGCAGGTTAATAGTGATTAAGTGTGAGAGTTCTAATTGGATGCATGTCTGAATGTGATACTAACTTTATATCACTCACAGTTGTTATGTAGTACATAAAGTAAGGGCGTTGGAATAATGTTTTTGCAAGCTTTGTGCTATGATATGTTTCTCTGTGATAGTTTATATATATTTGAAAGAAAAAGTTTAACAAAAATTCATTGGTTGTTCCATGAAAACAAAGAAGAATCTTCAATGTCATGAATGATGAAGAAGGTGAAGAGGATCAGGGAAACAATAATGTTTCTGTTAAAGATATGCATAATAATGAAAAATCAAATTCAAAGAAAATGTGAATTACATCTATTCGTAAACTAGAATGTAGAAGTCTCAGCATCAGATCAAACAGGATTAACTACTTAAGTATGTCTCCTCCATTCACTTGTACTATTGTTAGATATTTGGTAGTCTACCACATCATTTACAGTTGCATCTTAAATGGAATGAGAAGTTTCAAAGGAAAGTATGGCTTGGCAAGCCTAATATCCTTTTTGCCTGGATCTCCCATAAGGAATTCTACTATGAAGATTAGGGTCTTAGCGACATTAAGCAGATGATTGGAGAAAGATACTTTGCTACTATTGCAACTGCAAAAAACAATCGTCGGAAAACAGAGTCACCACCGAACGTTACTTAGCCTGACGGGGGAAAAGAAACTGTCAAAGAAACCTCGAAAAGGGAAAGGAACATGGTCTCGCAACCAAATCCTGGATTTGGGAGTCGATTACGCGAGAGAAAGGTGTTAGCACCCCTCACGTCCGTTGTACTCAACGGGATCCGCTCGTGTTGCTCTAATCAAAGGGTGTGTTTATCTAAAGCCTACTTGCTAAGGGGAACGGAAAGGAGAAAAAAAAAAGGAGACTCGATAGGACTTTGTCGTCCTAAGCCTACGTATTCCCTCGTGCAATTGGAAAGTCAGAGTCAGCGTAATTCAGAGGACTACGGGTGGAAAAAGAGAAGGGTGCTCGACAAGATTTCACCGTCTTTTGCCTACGTATCTTCATTCGGACGAAATGAAGAAGTCAGAGCCTTCGTAGTTCGGCCTACGAATTGCTAAGGATCTCGATCGCATTGGGGGCGAGAGAAAAGAGTTGGTTAGTTGTTAGTGAGCTCGCCAATGATAGGGATCCTCGTGCCAACATATCCTTATTAGGGGATGAGGAATTAGAGCCTCCGTAGTTCACGGGACTACGGGTAAGAAAAGGTCTCGATCGCACATGGGAGAGAGAAAAGAGTTTGAATCGATCCTAGTCAATAAGGGTGCTCCTAATAACGAAACCACAACGAAGAGGTGCAAGTGTGTGCATTAGGTTGATGGCGATGCTAAGAAGCAATCGAATTACAAGGTATTTTGAGAACGGACTCGACGACGAATTGAGAATTAGTTGGAAAATGGTTTAGTCTATGATAGTCCCTAAGGGTGCTCCCAGTAAACTAAACCACAATCAAAGCAAAACAAGT